GTAAGAGCAGCTGCCAGCTCTCTCTCACACAAACATTACCCTCTGCCAGACCTGATTGGACGCAGGCAACGCCAGCCCTGGATTTGCCAGTGGCCCCTGCCGCCCAAGACAGCAAATGGGAGTTCTGCGCGCAACAAATTCCTTATTCTGCTGCTTATTGTCTTTCTCCAACAACCTGGGACTTGATCTGATGATTATACTGCTCCGAGTACAAGCACTGCCTGGACGCTGCATGTTATTCCCGGCTGAATAAATTTGAAATTCTCCACGTCCATCTCCAGTGACTTCCTGGCTGACCTACATACGACCGTTCCTCTCTTCTAAAAGCTATCCCCTTTCTCTGTTCCGCGTGTCTGTCGAAGCTCTTCCCCCAGGACTACTGACCGCTCTTCCTTGTTTACTTATTTTACTCGAATACACACGTATGTCCAAAACAGTCACGACTGCAGTCGTGAGTCATTCTAATACACCACCTTTCACTATCAGCCCAACACAGGAAAGCGGACTAGATGTGCAGCTGTTTTGCCTGACCGACCTGAACACATTTTACTAAGTTTCCCTTTGCGAGCGATATAGCCGCGACTGCCTCGAGGACCAGTTGTACACCCTCTTATAAGGCGGGACAAAGAGCGCGCTGGAGATAAACCAGCAGCAACAGCCACCCGAGACAGCTCCTCTGGGTTTTGTGCACAATAAACCCTCCTCCGTGTGGATTCCAGAATTATGTCCTTCTTATTTTGCTCTTCCTTGGGGATATCAACGGGGCGTAATTCGACAGTGACACAGGTCAGATGTCATCGTTATAACACTAGCGACGTTTAACCCGTCCTTATAACACTGTCGACGCAGGTGAGATTGTTCCCCTGGATGTTACAACAATATGTGACGCACATTTCAACATGTGTATTTCCGCGGAACAATTGCTGTTCTACGAAAGTGTCGTGAACCCGCCAGCCATCAAATGATGTTGGAGTCTTAACATCATTGGCGACACTGCCATTTGTCACCCCTACAACTTGGCGTCGAAGAACTCACCATTTCTATCGTCGTAGAAAAAGGCTGACTATCATGCAGCACAGTACAAGCATGGGTGACGCCCATTCCACCATGCGTATTTCGGTTACAACAATTGACGGACATAACGGTTTGTTACTGTTACAACAGGCCTCCGATGATCACATCCTGCAAAAAGACTATGCATGTTTCTCAGTTTGTTACCGTTAGAACAGGCCTCCGATGATCACATCGCGCAAAAAGGCCATGAATATCTCTTAGCTTGTTACCGTTTCTTCGGGCCTCCAATGATCACATCGTGCAAACGGCTATCAATTATATTAGGGGATTTCTCCGGCTCACGAGTATTCCAATCAAAGGAACATGCTACCCAACTCAAAGGAGGGAAGTGTTAGGATAGTAGCCTGACCAAAGGCTAGCAACCTTGTCGGCCCTCCTAA